CCCCCGCTTCGTCATGATTCATTTCTTAAAAACACAAGCTATTCCACCTCTGTCAGAGAGAGTAACTGTCTAGGGCTCACCTCTGTGTATTTAAATTGTATGTCAGCTACCTCATTCTTTCCCATTGTTACGTTCTAAGGAAATACTCAATAATGACAACAGCGCATTTCCACTGTCCGTGTAGCTTAGCTCCGGGGCAGCGGAAGGCTGCCGATCGGTCTGGGACTGCTTGCCATTCCCCCTTCACCACCTCCAGGCTGGTGACTTCATTTCCTGAGGCTCGTCCTCGCGCCCCAGTACTGATGTCGCTCTCTACAGCGCTCACCTGCTTCCTCCTAATTAGGCTCTTCCGAAACAATGCCATCCAGCGGCCACTCTGCCTGAGGCCGGCGCAGGCTGGCTGGAAAGCGTTTGACGGGATCCCAAGGTGTCTCCTGGAGAAAAGCCTAAGCAAGCTGAGATCTGCACCGGGTCCCTAAAGCGCCCCCCCCCCCTCCTAGCCAGCCATAAGCGACAGCCCACCTGCTTCGCTGTGCCTTCACCTTGTGAAGGATGAGGCCCGCTCTTCACGCATGTTACAGGAGTTTGAACAATCACGGCCCTCTTCTAAGCGGAGGACCACAGTAGGAGAAAGGCAGGCACCAGCTCTTTGCAAGGCATGATGGGTAGGAGAGAGATTGTGTGAGATGTTCTGAGTAGCTGACTCCGAGACATACAGTCAAATACTACAGTTAAATCGTTTCTCGAGTGCCTTGTTCCGAAGCTTTACGATCGATTCTCCTCATTTTAAAATGCAAAAAGCACACACACTCACACTCGCAGCTGTAGAAGAGGTTTTGTATTGCTGTACTAGCTGATATTTCACTTACATTTTTTTTCTTTTACAAAAGGTGCTAAGACAGAGGTGGCTCGTGTCTCATAAGAAACTAGAGCTCACAAGTTTAATGACACCATGTTCCATTAATGTAGTTTAACACACAGTGATGTATGTCAATGATTAGTGATCAAATATTTATGAATAGCTACAGCATCAGATGAAGGTGTAGTTAAAATTATGACATGAAATATAACCACTGACAACGGCAATAATTCCTGACTTTTTGATGTATGTTGGTGACTGAACTGTCACAGTGATTGTCCAAACTCCTGCGACATTGACAGACGATAATCAGGCGGTTTAATAACCTCAGATATGCATCATTTCTGTTCGAAGAGTCCTACAGGACCTGTAAATCAGAACCATTTTCAAGGAGGAGGTGATCTCTGCTCAAAAAAATAATTTGAAAAGTTCAGTCATTTGCAATTTAAATACACAAGGTGTGTTTCGTGATTTTTGCTGCTGTTGTTTTATTTTACTATTGCTTTTTTTTTTTTTTTATACTGTATTTTTTCTGTCTTTTCGGACCATAAATTGTGTTGTGTCACTGCCAGGCACAGTTGAGATCTACAAGCATGTCCTGTTGAGTCTTCTCACAGGATTTTTGTTATGCTGCGAGTCTTGTTGAAAGGGTGGTGATGGGGGGGGGGGTCGTTGGGTTGAGCCAAGCGTGACCAATACTGCCCCCATATAGCCGACCATTGCGGCGTTGAGCATCTTCCCTTTTCCACCAAGAATAACTCATGCGTGAGAATATGAGGGGTCTCCCTCAGGGAAAAGACGTTTCTGCCAAGAAAGGGGCTTGTTTGCTCCCTGATGAAAGCAAAGGGCATAAGGCCACAGATCAGCAATAGGACAGCACATAGCAAAAGCAGAACCAACTCCTCCCCCATAGTCAGCTGACCACATGCTGTCCTGTCTGTGTAGAATGGAACTATGGGTGCACCAGCAGCTCCTTCTAATGCACAGATTCCCACCAGAATTGCAAGCTTTTAATCATTTCCCCCTTTTCTGTCCAAGCTAAATAAAAGCTGCTGGCCCCATTTTAACAGACAATGGGACATGTCAAGCCACAGTGACACGATGTTGATGCGTTACCTGGCCGAATAGCGCATGTAAAACCATGTTTAAAAGGGCAAGTTTATTTTTTTTTTTTTAAAAAAGGCTATCGGTCCTTATGAAAAAGAGTGAAATATCCTTGTAATACAATCTAATAAAATATTTCTCTGGCATAGCAATCTGTCTAAACTGCTGCGTTTTTTTAGATCAGAAGTGGTCAAACTCAAGTTTAAGACAGCAAACTAAGCAGACATTAATCAGGTCAGCTCTGACCCTAGAAGAGAATCCCGACAGAGCCCAAATAGAGGGGCTTGGGATATGGACGTTATAGATTGGGGCATGAGTGCCTCTTGAACATTAATGCTCGGATTAATGTGCGGAAGTAGGAGCAGCCATTTTACCAATGGCACGCACCATTACAAGCTTGGCCAATCAATGATAAGTAGAAGGGGCCATTCTGACTGATCATGTGCCACCTTACTTAGCCAATCAGCAGTCTATGAGTAAAATCATTCTGTTTGAGGGAATGCACCCTGACAAATAGGGCCAATCAGTGATAAGTAGGAGGAGCCATTCTGAATGACACGTAAAAGCAGGATTAATTAAAAGGGAACCTCATTAAACAGGCTGGTTTAAAATAATTCATTCTGGCTTTAGGAGATAATGTTTGTTTAATCTTTATGAATCCCCTCCCCATCTGGGAAAAAGAGCCCCTCCCCACCTGACAGTAGGCGAGCTCATAGCACAGCTGGCTGTATGTTCCTGCTATCTGACATATTTTCTGGAGGGATACCAGGTGGTTGGCTCGAAGCTGGGATCTCCACTTTTGGGTTTGGGCAAGGGATGTGTTAATAGTCTCGTGGACCATGACAGTTTGGTCGATGTTCTTGGACGGTCAAGCACAGTGTGGTTCGGTACAGTACAGCACAGCACAGCACGTTCCGGTGCTCGGGAAGAAGAGCTGGCTTCTTGCCTCTGTTTTTGTGTGAGGAAAAAAAAAACGAGGAAAGTTATTTTCTTTGTTATCCTGCCTTTATTTTTTAGAAATGACTAAATGTATTAGCTGCTACGAAGTTCAGTATTTGAGAGCCAGAACTGTGAAGCGGGAGGAGGAGCTTGCTGAACGCGCCTTCCTCCATGGTAACCGGGTGCCATGGCGACGCCGTTTCCTCAGCATGGCCGCCCACGAACAAAGCCTTGCATGTACAGTACCTCTCCCATGTCGCAAGTGGATCGCCACGAAATTCATGTGGCCACGCCCTGCCGGCCAAAAGCAAATGACCTAGACTGCATCAGAGCACTGGGACAGCGATTAGAAGCCAGGGGTCATTCTGATCCTGACGTTTGATCCCTGTCTGATTAGCTGAGGTTTGATTAGCTGTCTGCGGTCAGGAGGTACAGAGATCTTGATTTCCCTCACAGAGGTTTGAGGCCTGGGTGCCTCTACCTCTCAACACTCCACGTCGGATTTTCTGGATACTGAGCACCTGAGACATGCTGAGTGAAATGGAAGGATTTGCGATCCCCTCCAAGGGTGGGTGCTGTGTCAGTCAAGCCTGTGTTGACCTTAGAGTTAAGTGCTTTATTTCTCTCTACAGAGAGTGAAGAGTCACTATGAAGCTGACATGAGCGTTGAGTGTTGAGGAAGAGCACTGTGATGAGCTTCTGCTGTTCCAGAAGAAAATGATAGTGCCAGAGAGGATTAGCTTTAGCGAAATGTGTGTCATCCTTGTTGTGTATAAGTGAGCACCACCAGAAAGGAAGGGCGAAAGAGCGCCATCTGCATCATTTGGCTGTGAAGCTGCTCTTCCTACATTGTGTTTGTGGATGTCTGACATTACTCTTCATCTTCCTCCTCAGTGATCTCTACAAAACATTAAAATCCTCATGATAATGAAAGACATGAACCACAAGTGTACTTACACTCTGCATTTACCGTCGTCTGAGGAGTAACATAATTATGAGGGGCTGAACCCCATTCATCATGCTGCCCATGACCATGTAAAACACTTTGTCACAGACATGACAGCAGAAGGTGCTCCCTTGCCTGATTGGTTAATATAGCACATGTGATGGAAGAGGATGACCAATGGCCGATCCGCATTTCCAGAGTGGTGGATATATACACAAATCATTTTTCCCTGCTGGCAGTACAGACGATGTGTGTTCCCCTTAAATGCACTCACAGGCCTCACCCAGTATTGTTCAAACGTGGTAAAACATTTCTTTACCAGGAGACCAGGAACTTTAGGTGCACCTTGCAACTGTTGGCATTGCATTTCTTCCGCTGAGTACATCTCTTTTAAAGCTCTGTATCAAAGGCCACAGTATTTTAACACACAAATTGTTAGTGGGTCTGCTGATTGTCACCAGATTGCTCACATGCCATGTTTAAAACATCAGAGATACTCTCCAACCTGATTTGGAGATTAGACAATGGATTGGAGACAGGCCACAGGCCATCTCTTCCCACAGAGTGATTGTCAATTACGATGTGCTAGAATCAGCCACTCGGCTAATTTAGATCACAGGTCCAAAAGGCTTTTGAAAGATCACACCAGTGGCATTAGCGTTTAGCTCATGAGGCTCCAGCTTCCCTGAGATGGCAGTGTCCATGCGCTCATGGTGAGTTTTGCTTTCCCTCTGTCTGCATTGGAGACAAAGTGGAGCCAAAATTGCATATCCACAATTGCAGTCATGTGATTGGCGGTCGTCCCCAAGGACTGGGATTTGATTGGTCATGGAGGCTTCGCGTTCAGCATGCTCGCGCCTTTCTCTGCGAGTTTCTGGCTCTAGGAAAAAAAAAAATGTATTGGAGTAACATAGAGGGAAAACCATTGAAACTATGTTTTACCAAATTTATTGAAAACAACACAACCTCTATTAGACATTAAATTATTAAAGAGAGGAAAATAAGAATATTTATGAAATCCTTTTTGTACAGGTGTTTAAAAAAGACGCAACAGAACGGATCTTCGATGCTATTTTTTTATTTGTAGTGCTGTCATGCTTCCCATGTCTCTGAATTGTGATCCTGAGAATTTCTGTAGATCAGTGGATGTTAGATTTAATCTTCTGTTTTATTACGTTTTTTTTCTTTGAAGAAGCTTTCAATAAAAAAAAAGTTGAAAATCAGATTGTTCTGTGGCTCCTTTTTGATCTTTTTCTTCTATTGTGGTTATATTTGCATCCACCGGCTTGGGGTTGAGCCCCACATGCCATACGCTGGGATTCTGTATCTGCTCACACTGCACTTACAGTACAGCAGCAGAAACGCTGCATGTGAAGTTTCACTCCTAATCATCATGCGGCACCGACACATTCAGAATGAAAAACGGAATAGAGAACAGGCAGCAGGCATCAGCCATGACCAAACAAACACAGATTTCTGTGCTGCCATTATTTAGATGTTTGTTTAATTCTGTTGTTTTTAATAATAATAATACTGCAGCTGCTATCTATTTTACAGTCATTATCTACACCATACTCACAATACTAGAAATAAACTAGAGACAATGTTGTATGCCTCTACACATCTTGTCTTGTTTATGATGATTTGAATACATTTTCATGGTAACAGCTTGTCTACTTTTGAACGCAAAAAAATGCCCAGGACTCTCTCGAGTATCCTGCCGAAAAGAAAGATCAACCATATAAAAGTTAAAGCCCACATCAACATTATTATTAAAATGAACGATATTCCAGAAAGTTACACAAACCCTGTTATCACAAAAAGATGTACTGTATTATGTTAAAAAGGAAACAAAGATTATTTGCCAGTAGGAACGGGGATTGCTGAAACTAATAGCTGTATTCTAGAAAAAAATTGCGTAATGACTTACTGTACAGATGTTATGAGAAGTGGAAATCACAATTATGTAATTAATTACATGAAAAACACTCCTTTATATCTGAAGGAACCTGCGATAGGCCAGATTGTCACAAAGATTATTAAGGCCCTTATATGAGTTGACTCAAGTGTGTCATTTGTTTCCCCCTTTAACTCAAATTAATTAATTTCACTTTTAAAATATTTACTTAGTTTGGTTATTTTTGATTTGCTAGTATATATATGTATGTATGTGTAAGTAGGTATGTATGTGTAGGCCTATATACCAAATACAATTAATTTCCCATGTGGGTATTGTAAATTCTCAATTTTTACTGTATAAGCAGGTAGATCTCCCATCATGCACAGGGGCAGGAACCCTTCAGAGAAAGATCCCCTGGAGCGAGGCATGAGCCACTGGCTAGCCTCCATGGACAGAGGAACACCTCAAGAGGAAGAGGCATCCGTTAGCATACAGTTGTGGCCAAAAGTTTTGAGAATGACACAAGTTTTGGTTTTCACAAAGTATGCAGCCTCAGTTTTTATGGCGGCTTTTTTCATATGCTCCAGAATCGGGGCTCAGGAATGGCAGCAGGCAGGTGTGAGTGCATCTGCACGTTCAGTGAGGTGAAGACTTCGGGAGGATGGCCTGGTGTCAAGAAGGGCAGCAAAGAAGCCACTTCTCTCCAAGAAAAATGTCAGGGACAGACTGATATTCTGCAAAAGGTGCAGGGATTGGGCTGCTGAGGACTGGGGTAAAGTCATTTACTGTGATGGATCCCCTTTCTGTTTATTTGGGGCATCCGGAAAAAAGATCATCTGGAGAAGAAAAGGTGAGCGCTACCATCAGTCCTGTGTCATGCCAACAGTAAAGCATCCTGAGACCATTCATGTGTGGGGCTGCTTCTCAGCCAAGGGACTGGGCTCACTCACAATTTTGCCTAAGAACACAGCCATGAATAAAGAAAGGTACCAAAACATTCTCCGAGAGCAACTTCTCCCAACCATCCAAGAACAGTTTGGTGACGAAAAATGCCTTTTCCAGCATGATGGAGCATTGTGCCATAAGGCAAAAGTGATAACTAAGTGGCTCAGGGAACAAAACATCGACATTTTGGGTCCACGTCCAGGAAACTCCTCAGACCTTAATCCCATTGAGAACTTGTGGTTAATCCTCAAGAGGTGGGTCGACAAACAAAAACCCACAAATTCTGACAAACTCCAAGCATTGATTATGCAAGAATGGGCTGCCATCAGTCAGGATTTGGCCCAGAAGTGGATTGACAGCCTGCCAGGGCGAATTACAAAGGTCTTGAAAAAGAAGAGCCAACACTGCCAATATTGGCTCTTTGCATAAACTTAATGTAATTGTCAATAAAAGCCTTTGACACTTATGAAATGCTTGTAATTATACTTCAGTATACCATAGAAACATCTGACAAAAAGATCTACAAACACTGAAGCAGCAAACTTAGTGAAAACCAACAATTGTGTCATTCTCAGAACTTTTGGGCATGACTGTACTTGGAGAGGATGCCCGGCACTAGAGGCAGTCTGAGGATAAAACTTCCTGCTCACCTGCTGACAGCCTAATTATCAGCAAGTGTCTGCGCCGGTGTTGGGTTGCGATCCCTTCAAAAGCCACGCTGAATCGGCTTGGCACTTTTTCTTCAGTCTCGATTCGGTGTTTCGGCGGCCGGATGGGATTTTATTGCTGTCGGGTGAAAAATGGTTGGGTTGCTAACAATGTAATACAGTAAGAGGAATGAAGTAAAAATGAGGAGGGAA